TCTGCGAAATTCCTTCGCTTTTTCTTAAGGGTCTCTGGAACAGCAGGGGCCGCCTTCTTCTTCTCCCTGACATTAGCACACGGAAACTGTTAACACCCCAAAATGCTCACTCTTCCACTCGAGAGGGATAATTTTCGTTTAATTTTCACTAAGCGATTGGCTCTTAACCGCTTGTATCTTGTAGATAAGCTTGAACTCTAAAAATGTAGGTGGTTTTGGATTCTCTCCGTATGTGTGATCTTCAACACGGACCATTTGACTAAGAGGGCAACCACAAACTAACACCATATCCAGGGCAGTGCGGGCCTCTACCATAAAAAAAGAGTTCACAGCAAAGCAACCGAACTAGGGGCCCGAAGCGAGATGTCGGGCCCCAGTTAAGAAAGGCCTAGAACGCTCCGAAAAGCCAAGTCTGGTTCTCGCCTCGTCTCCACATGAGAAAGCAAAGGCCTGGTTGGCAGGAAAAGCTGGGCCGAGTGCCAGCAAAGAATGAACTAAATTCACAGGTTCTGCAGATCGCTTAAAAAGAGCTTTCACGAGGGACTGGGCCTCCGCCCAGTTCCCTGGTGCAGCACTAAGGCGGCCCCCAGCATCGCGTTCCACGGTGCTTCTAAGACCTCGGCCCCAAGGCCGCCGCATCCCCTCCTAGCTACGGGCACTGTTTGTCAGAGAGCGTCACAAATACACAGACAAGAGGGCAAAGGCTCAGGCTACAGTCTGATGGGGGTAAAGTGAGACAAAAATTCCCTGGTCTTTGGGATGGAGAGAGATTCTACGAAGTACAAGATGCAACTTACGCGACAGCCTCCATGATTCCAGCCGGTTAAAAAAAAAAGGAAGTTGACGCGTGCGCACGGATCACTTAAAGATAGAGCGAAGCCCCAAGGTTCATAGGTGTCCGAGGATAAGCCAGAAAAGAAACCAGAACTGAGAAGCCGCCTTCCAGGAGCAAAGTTAAGAGTTTTTTTGCTCAACCTTTTATGATCAAGTTTTCGTGTACAATTTGTATGGGGAGTCTACGCACTGATTAGGCTCTTAAATCAATACGACGACGAAAGCAGAGTGCTGCCGCCTTAATTACTTGGGGTCCTACGTTGACAGCGTTCAGCTAGATTCATTGCACTCAAAAGGAGTGCTGGTGACGCAGGGGCGCGGAGCTAGTCCTTGCGAGGGAAAGTTGGCAGTGTACGTCGGCAAAGACCCACAGCCTTGGAAACGCTAGGGACAGCCCTCTTGTGTTCTACAGGGCCGCTACAAGTCCGACTTCTGTCGCTGGCTAAGAGTTGGACTTTGGGTTAACGCAAATGACCAGCCACGGGTGCGAACTCCAACTCCCGGCATGCATCACTCCTATTGCGGGAGGGAAACGCCTGACGGGGACTGTAGGCGCAGCGGCGACTCCAGCCAGGGGAACGGAGAGCCCCGCTCGCCCTCCTTTCAAGGGCTGACCGCAACCAGAGTGACTACCGAAGGCCGGCTCCTGGCCGTCGCCTCGGCGGCCGGCCGAGAGTAGTCACCAATGCCGGCACTCCGCTTTCTTCCGCGCGGCGGAGGGCCTCCCCGCTCCCCCGGCCGGCAGGGCTGTCTTCCGCGGCGCCTGACCGCCAGCAGGGCCAGCCCAGAGTCGCTTGGTTCAAGATCGTGGCCTCCCCCAGGGGTCAGCGACGCCCGGACGGCCCGAGGATGGCCGCCCATTCCGGCCGGAGCTGTACCCGCCGCCACGTCCGGCAGGCGGAGGCTGGGACACCCCAGAGCAGGGGGCGTGAGCCTCGAAGGGAGGTGCGACCGGGGCTGGAGGCAGGCTGCGGCCACGGCCATG